TAGTTTCACAGATGATCTCTGGGCCGGTGAGAGTGCTGTCAGGGACTTGTCCCTTGGCTAGCTGCGTGTCGCCCACCTCAGCCCAACATAGAGGGGATCTACACTTACAACCATAAAAGGGATTCAAAAGGAGCAACTTTGATACTGTTATGATAACTGTTGTTGTAGGAGAACTTAACCAAGGGAAAATGGGTGTCCATGACTTACCGAAGTCTATGACACATTGTCACACCCCAAAACCGAGAACGGCGGAATATGTTCTGGGGTGGAGGATATCATGTACAGTATGATAACAATTGCATAATAGTAAAAACAAGCGACAACAACCATTGCATTAATATAGTGATTTTAAATACAAACGTGTTATGTATAGTTAATAGACACCAAAAGTATAACAAAAATAAAAGATGAGTCTTGTGTACGCTCCATTTTCTCAAAAGTTGCACCAGTACCTGTCTATCTTTAACCTAAGGATACAAGTTATTTTGAAAACGAGTATCAACATAAAGCTGGTGAGTTCATAAGAATTTAGTGTCGTTGTTTGTATAAAAGTGTTTACAATCATGTAATATAAATAAAAGCTGTAGTTACTGTTTGAGAATAGAATAAATCCCTAGAAAATCCTATATTTTCCAAAATTGAGCATTTGTAAGTTAAATCCTTCGAGCGTGTAAAAGTATTTCTATTGAAACTTTCAGTTATAAAAATAAGGTAATAAGTTTCATTCAAGTAACGTAGATGAGGAAAAGTATTGCTGGTTGCAAACTTCAATATATATATATATATATATATATATATATATATATATATATATATATATTTACTTTGGGAAGTTAGCTTAGACTCTAAGTCTTAGTGTGTTAATTTGGATATGCATGTGATCTCCCATGTAACCAAACTGAGTGATTATAGAGGGTCCGATGACCTTCCCGGTCATACGTGGTGTAGTGATGTAGTGCCACCCCTGGGCCTAATCGGCTCGGACTGTAGTTAACAGTCGGGATGTAATAGTGTCCGCCCTGTATAGATCTATACATGTAGTGTTGCTTTCCTTCCGAGAAGCTCTGGTTACATGGTATATACGCAGTAGAGTGCCGTATAGAGGGATAGTGTGTCATATTTTGGATTAGTTTATTCGCTTGTATTATACTATAGTAACTTTTAGTATAGTATAGAGAGTGTTCTCTTTGACGTGCCTTAACTCGTAATAGCAGTAATTATAGTGGGTATCATAGTGATAGAGGTAACGAGCAGTAGTATTAACTATACCTATTATAGTTAAATAGAGTGTGGAGTTGCATGCCTTTTGATTTACAAAGGTATTAAATAAGATGAAGACCTTCATATCTAACACAGTTTAAAAGAAAGGTATTAAATAAGATGAAGTCTTACTTATATAAATAAGATGAAGTCTTACTTATATAAATATATTGATGTAGATATAGTTTAAAAGAAAAGTAGTCTAAACACAGTTTGAAAATAGTTTAACAACAATTTAACCTAGAAAATGTGTTTGATAAATATTTAAAACAGTTTTATTGGCAAATAGCTAAAAGTATAGCAAATCCTTTTTGGTTGTAAGTT